CGAATGGCCCAGAGAGCTTTCGTAGACATCTAAAAAGTGAACTGGGGGCCACGCCGCCACCATCTGCTGAAAAAACTACACATAAAACATCGTAGAACAACCATGTTCAAGTTTTTTAAGAGATGGATGGATTCAATCCCTGAGGGGTGCACCTGAAAGAAGACGTATATTTATCTACGATTGCAACGTTATACACCACTTCTATGTTTTATTTTTAATAAGCGTTTTTAAAAAGCTACACAAAGTTTTTCTGAAATTTTTCCTAATGCTTAAACGTTTGAATTTACCCAAATGATCTCAAGTAAAATAATCGACAGTTTTGCCGCGATATTTTCGTTCGTTCTTTTTTCTTTTAACGTAACCAAAAAAAAATTGAATATCATTCGAGTTTCTACATCGTTACAATAACGATACATATTTGTCCTTTAATCGTGGTAAAAACTGGAGCAGAAAGCAAGAATGATGACACGCAGTCCTACAGAATTCTTACAGTCGTGTAGGCGCGAATATGAGTTTCACGCCAAGTGACCGACTACATTGCGTTTGGCGCAATGCAAGAAGTATTCATGCAGTCATGTAGGGGTAGGCGCTAACATAGGCTTGACGCTGACTGCTGACGCTGACGCTGTTTGGTGCAATACGAGAGGTATTCCTAAAGTCTTGCAGGCGCTGATCTACTTTTAACACCGGTTGCACATTGTTTGGCGCGATTATTCGAACTCGCATTATTAGAATCATAGCGGCATCGAAACGTTATGTCTACGCCGTATGAGCATTCCAACGTCACCTCCATTCTCCCGATTAAGTATTTTCTTCGAGAAAAGTTAGGATGGTTCTTTATACCCACGACCATTATTGAATCTTTTCACTTCGTTTATCATCAGAAGGTAGGACATTGATGACTTGTTAAAATGCGTTCATTTTCCAAAAGTTTTCTGTTTTGCCAAACTTCTACTTTAAATTAACCTCATTTTAAATTCGCGCATTTTTGTGGCAGATGTTCAGGTTTCTGTTAGCGCAATCTTGATGCCTTTTTCGCGCAATCCTCGTATATTTTCTTCGACCTTTCCCGCAATCCTGGATTACCGAGTCAAATGAGTCTGAGGAAAAAAAATAATTCCTTGGAATTCATCGGACGTCCTCCGATACCGATTTCCGAAATTTTAAGTGAGAGAGGCCCAGCACCCCCAGTACAAATTGCAAGTTTCATTATTTACAAATTTCAACTTGATGCACTTACTTCCAGTACCGTTATACTTGTTTTTCGGAGAGATAATTCAAATATTGCTGATTCATCGGGGAGGCCTTTTTGCAGTGAATAGAGAATCTTGATCACGATTTAATATTATGAAAACAAATATGGGCTCATCTAGAGACTGCTATATACCTCCAGCAATAAAATAATAGAAATTGGCTCGCAGATCTCTGAAAATAACTCGGATATGAAATGAGCATTCGAGAACTTAATGACGTTCAAATTACCTTTTGCTAGGGTATTTTTTCTTTACACGGAAAAAAATGGGATAGTCGACACAACCAGCGGCTGGTTATAAATGCGCCAGCTACCGTGCGGTAGTTACGATAACTATCGCGGTGGAGGTCACAACTAACCCGGTAGTTACATAAACATCCATGGTTTTTGATGTAACTACCGGGTCAGTTGTGACCTCCACCGCGGTAGTTATCGTAACTACCGCACGGTAGCTGGCGCATTTTTAACCAGCCGCTGGTTGTGTCTACTATCCTCTCTTTTTCCGTGTAGTTTTATGTCTTTGAATTCCTTTCTCATTATTCTCAGTGATAAAGCTGGAAGAATCAGGGGCCATCAGATATCGTCGCTCCGCAGACTTGAGGGAGTATCTCGATTACCATGTGAGCCCTGTTGTCCATGTTGTTGCTGGCTTCCCATAGCTCATGTGGAAATGGAGATATACTCGATATGATTGGGTTTCACTTACTCTTTATTTAAATGCAAAAGATGTTTCATCCGTTTTATTCCATGAGTTTGACTAGAATTTCACATTCGGACGCACCATAGTCATGATTTTTTGGTGTGAGCAGAGAACATACCACCTAGATGACCTATGATAGTCGCATCCTCCACACACACCTGCCTTTCTTTCCCTCTCCGAAAACCTGTAAACTAGGTGTATCGACAAATTGTAATCTTCCGGCCAAAGAATCACAAGCGCCAAGCGACGTTTATAAATATCCACATCTATTTAATTTTTTTTTTACAGAGAAATTGTTCAACGAAGCTGTCCGAAAATTTCACTGCATTTTCTTTGAGCTGCCTTTGAAATCCAGTGAAATTTTCAAGTAGATCTAACCAACAATTTCTCTGTAAAAAAATGAAAAAGCAGCGGATATATTTAAACGTCGCATGGCGCTTGTGATACTTTGGCTGGTGGTTGACGATATCATCGGCGCGTCAGGTTCAATGAGTTTATAGCTCGTGGCTCGGAACTGCAACTTCCGAATGTAGGTGCTACAGCTACGGTCTGAACCTAAAACTTCGTCGACGGCGTGTCTATTCTATCAGCAATGATGACTCTCAAGGTCGTTAAAGAAAAGAACAAAAACGAAATTCAAAGCTGCGGCTGCACGCAGCAAGTTCATTGCAGTCACTTGTTTGGTAATGCAGCATGTGATTGAGAATGAAGTAATGCGTGCTTCAAAAAGGACTCGCAAGTTAATGACCTTGGCAACAATGAATTGATGAGCTTGATTGATTGAACTACCTGTAACTTTAATTGCTGCGCGCGAAAAAAAAAGGTTAGGTGGGTCTCTGCGTGGCACAACAAGAATTTGACACCAACCTTAGTCTCTGTATACGTATTTAATTTCCTCTGAATTTGGCAAACCCACATTTTGGCGTAAATTTTAGCAAAATTGAATCCGATTCTATTCTACGAGGGGCGTTCAATAAGTAAGTATCCCCCCTCTCTAAAATCCATAAGAATGGACCAATCTTAAAAAACTTGGGCTCAAAATCTTCCTTAGGATATTTTGAGTTCAACAAAACAAACCGCAACAAAATCGGACGATATGCGGCCGAACGCGAGCCGTTTGAACGCGCCGAGGTGCTCGACGCTCCCGCCGAATCTACGAGGATTTGAAGTCCGCTACAGGAGAAGAGCTTCTCTGCCAAAGCCTCAGTCGTTCATCACTGACGAAAAATCAAAGAAATTTTTGTAGAATAAGGGGCTTACCTCACTTCTCCACATAACCAGCTCGATCCAAGCAAGTCTGATACTGAAACTAAGACTAAGAGAACAGCTTTTGGATGCCTCGTGCGTGGAAGTCTTTCAGCTGACCGCGGATGAAAGAGTGGACGGCTTGTTTGACCTCTTCCACTGATTCAAAATTAACTCCTCCAAATCCAGATTTCAGGAACGGGAATAAATGGTGGTCTGGTTTGCCATTTATTATCGTATCTGAAATCTGAACTCGGAGGAGTTAATTTTGAATCAGTGGAAGAGGTCAAACAAGCCGTCCACTCTTTCATCCGCGGTCAGCTGAAAGACTTCCACGCACGAGGCATCCAAAAGCTGTTCTCTTAGTCTTAGTCTCAGTATCAGACTTGCTTGGATCGAGCTGGTTATGTGGAGAAGTGAGGTAAGCCCCTTATTCTACAAAAATTTCTTTGATTTTTCTTCAGTGATGAACGACTGAGGCTTTGGCAGAGAAGCTCTTCTCCTGTAGCGGACTTCAAATCCTCGTAGATTCGGCGGGAGCGTCGAGCACCTCGGCGCGTTCAAACGGCTCGCGTTCGGCCGCATATCGTCCGATTTTGTTGCGGTTTGTTTTGTTGAACTCAAAATATCCTAAGGAAGATTTTGAGCCCAAGTTTTTTAAGATTGGTCCATTCTTATGGATTTTAGAGAGGGGGGATACTTACTTATTGAACGCCCCTCGTACTTTATTTTGTTTAATTTAATTTCACTTCAGTTCATTTCATTTATCTTATTTTGATTTATTTTATTCACTTTTATTTCATCTTGTTCAAAACAGATCTGCCCTTAGATTTTGTTTCGATTAAAAGTAATTAAAATTCGTAACTTACATCGTCCGCCGATTACACTCACATCGTGAGCATGGTTTAGGCATCAAATTTTTAGCGATGTTGCTTTCACTTTTGCCGATTTTTCTAGATCAAGGTTACCATGACTCAGAAAAGAGTCAGCATTTATATGGAGAGCAACGTTCACAATCAGTACTGTGCTTTGAAAATTTGAGTCAAAATCAAAATTAGAGACAGAAGTTCAGCAGTTTTTCACAGAAATTCCACCGGGGAAATTTAAAAAAGCCATGTTTAATAAAGCAAAAGAGAATATGAATAAATATATTAATAGCCAATACTTTGAGAAAAAGAGGAATATCTCAAGGAGTCGGAGAATAGTGAGGACAAATCATTAAAAGAAAAAATGCTCTCTAAAAACGATAGGGGGTCCTGTTGTTTATTTATTCAAAATGTCATAACTTTCTCAATTTTTGACCAAATGAATTGATCATATTCTCCGTCGATAGCTTTTGAGTTAATCTTTGAAATAAAACCAAGATCAAATGTTTATCTAGCATATAGTTTATTTTAATTACAGAACCAGTCCGAATACATTTTGGACACCCCATGCATTTTTTCGTGATCACGAGTATCTTACTGCCCCGCGAACAACATTCCTAGGTGTTATATATATCTACCAAATAATCCATAATAAGACCCTTTTTCAGGCACGGGCAACTTTCCATTGCATTATCAAGATATAAAGCACAGCCTGGTATACAAATTTAAAACGCGGGGGAAATTATTCGAATAATGAGATTTACAATAAAGGTTTGCCAGGAATTTTTGAATAGTAAACTTATTATTTCTTTTATAATTAATGAAAAATCAATACATTTTGAGTAAAAAAGTGAGAAAATATTTTAAAATGTTATCTTTTTTCTTGGTGTGCCTCTGCACAACACAAGTATCATTATTTTTATTTTTTTCCCTTGTCTTAAAGTGTTGATGGAGCTCTAGTTGGATGTGGAGGAGATGATTTCCTGTAGAATTTCATATTCTCCCAGTAATGTTCATCTGCTTCCTCGTCATCCTCCCCACCTGCAGCTTTTCCCTGATCAGCACGGTGTTGGGCGTTCTGCGCCGGGTTCGGCATTTTTCTCTTGTCGAACAGTAGCCCCCACTGCATCTCGTATTCCGCATGGCTCAGTATATACACTCCCGTACCCTGAAATGCCAGTCTAAGCCAATCCACGGCATTTTGCACCGTGGAGTGATTCTTGATGCGACTGAACTGGGCGGAGTCGATCTGAAACGTGATAACAGAGTTTGAGATTCATCTACACTGCGAACTAGTTTTTAAAATCTATAGACATAGCGATCCAGTGGCGTAACGGGCGCCCCCGCAGACCCTGCTATGCAGGGGGGCCCAAGCGCCTAGGGGGCCCTCGGCCGCCGGATTTTTTTTTTTCTCTGTCTCTTTCATGCTTAGCTTTGGTTTCAAACTTTGGGCCTTCACTTACCGAGATGGGGCTTCTTCCGCTGTTTTTTATTGTTAGCTCAGGGTTTTTCATACTTCTTTTGGACTGTTCCTAACTTTTTTTTGCTGAAGGGCCCCTGCCTTCCAATGTCCACCCAGTGATTACTAAAATTTTTCTCTTTTTTGTCACTTTTCGTAGGTATTTCGGGCTTTGGGTGACCCATGAATCTAAAGGGCCCAGTGGGCCCTTCGATTCTCGGGCCTGCATGGGCCCTTCGATTCTCGGGCCTGCATGGGCCCTTTTGTAGATCCTTGGGTCTGGGCTAGGCCCCCGCCACCCTTTAGATCCTTGATCCTTTAGCAGCCCCATTTAATCGGGTACGGGATCCGGGACAGTGAGTGGAAGGTCCAAGTCCGTGATTTGAAATTTCTCGGGCCAGAAAACGGGAAGGGGTGAGGGAAGTGGAGGGGCGGGAGGGGGATGATTTTGGAATTTTATCGACATGGGGGGGGGCGGCTAGAAAAAATTTTGCAGGGGGGCCCAGCGGAAGTCCGTTACGCCACTGTAGCGATCGACGTAGAAGACATACCGACGGTGAAAGTCGGCAATCACATAACTCGTTTGCGGTGTCTGAAAATCTCCGCCTCTACGTCATTTGTTTAAAGGAGAACAAATTGATATTATTTCTTGAAGTTTTTGCAGAATTTTCTTCGCATTGAGAAGAAAAATCATGACAGTTTTAAAGAATTGCCGTTGAGTAGTTTTCCATTTAAAAAATGAAGTATGACAGGAAGTCTGCGACGTCGCAAACCGAGTTATGTGATTGCCGACTTTCACCGTCGATACGGATTATAGGACATATTGGTTGAAACGGGTGGTTCTTATAGATAGAGGTGGTAAAGGGTGGACTGACTGTGGTGACTCTTTTGGATTGTTATTAGATAGTCTGTTGTTTAACTCCTTTTCACATTGCAATACCCACTTTCACCAATAAGCTCGCTTCATTTCCCCTATTTTTTCCCTGTTCATTGCTTTGTCTATCAACTTCAATAATCCGACGCTGGAAAAAGACATTGACGCATTAAACGAACTTCGATTAATCCCAATAGGTCCGTTGAGCAGGTCCCAGAGTCGTGTTTTGATGCTTGATTCTTGTAGATTATCTAAAAATAGTTCAAACAGAAAATCTCTGCGACAAATATGTATATTAAGCGAGATATCGCGCTTTGAAAAATTCGAGTAATGACGTCATCCACCCCGGTATTGACACCCTTGGTTTCACTCACCTTGACCTTACCTGAGTGAGTTTCACTTTGAGTAATCAGTAAAAGTGTATTTCTCCGTGACTGATGGAACGAAGACGAAAGAAACCAAAAGTGACCGTGGTGAATGACGTCATGAACCAATTTTTTCAAAGTGCGGCGTCTCGGTTAACATTTAACGTAGGGTTTCTGTTTGAATAGAGCTTATTATTTTTAGCTGATCCACACGAGAATCAAGAACCAAATCTTGACTCCGTGACCGGCGCAACTGACTCACTTTCTTTCTGACGCGCAATAGCGTTTGAAAATCACTCAAGTTTACTGGATTCATTTCAATGGAGATGTTGCATGTCGTGTAAGGAATTTGCGATTTGACTCTCGATTCATTTGTAAAAGTTCGCGAGAAACACAATGGTGCCACTGGTTTTCTCTGAAATCAACTCCCATGCTCAAAAAAAGCTCTCAAGTTGAGGCCAAAATGGAGGGTACATTCCACGATATCCTGAGAGTCCACGTCTACATCAAGACAAACTCCATGCAAAGGTAGGGAGCAAATACATTAGCAGGGTTGCCGTGTTCTCAATTTTAGAGTTCCCAAATAAAGTGGCAGCCCTGCCAATGTATTTGCTCCCTATGTTTGCATGGAGAGTGTGTCTTGATGTAGACGTGGACTTTCAGGATAGCGTGGGATATCCCCTCCATTTTGGCATCAACTTGAGAGCTTTTTTCGAGCGTGGGAGTTGATTTCAGAGAAAACCGGTGGCACCATCGTGTTTCTCGTGAACTTTTACGTTAGAATCAACAGTCAAATTGCAAATATCTCACACATGCAACATCTCCATTCTGTTCAGAAATAAGGCTGTCATTGCCACGTGATAATCAACTGTCACAAAATCTTCAAAAGTGTTGTCTGTACTTTTCAAAACTACGAGTCTGATACAAAGAGGCCCTTCTCGAACTACTGAGGTGTAACGCGTCGGAAACTTATGGAGGTAAAAAGAGGAGGTTATAATGAGACAGAAAAAATTTCGAGCTTTTAACGTGGAATTTTCCGAGATACCCCGGTTAAGGTCATTTTGCTGGAAAGTAGCGGAGTTTTTTTCAAAGATACCAAGCAGCATGGTGGCATGCCCCCTCGGGCTAGAAAGAAAGGGGGGGAGAGGGAGAGAAAACAAGTGCTCCGAAAATTTTATTGAAATGGTTTTAAGACAGAACTATAAAACTAAAGTTTGAATTTTCCTCTGTTTCATCAGGAAGTGGCCCGGGAGCGTATATTTACACTTCATTTCGCCACTTTCCTGAGCTCCTGGTCACTGAGAAAAAATAGTCCATACACAAAAATAAAATTACGCTAGAGCTAGAAGAGGTATTACTCGTCAATCTTTAACTTTCAAATAATGCACAAATTGTATGCTAAAATTGTTTGAAATTCAATCTGGGTGGGCCTGTTTTTATAATATTTTTCGGGAGTAACCACCGTGGCAACTACGTCAGCAAATCCCCCGCTTCTACTCGCTATGCATCCGCGACGGGAGTTATCAAGGTTTTAGCTATTGAAGTTCAACTAACATTTTGTGTTCTTGTGTTACGTGTGGTTAATGTAGGAAGTAAAACACAAACCAACCGTAATTTTGTGTTGATATTGGTATAGTTTACGGGTGAATTTAGTGCAGAAAACAAAAGAGAGCCTAGGAAACACCAGACGTTGCCAACGAGAATGGAGAGGCTGTAACTTCTCGGTTTCGTGACGTCAAACTAGTAGAGTAGTCGCCGTGTAAACCAATCAGAGCTTTCGTCGATCGGCCGAAGTAGCATGAGCGGCGCGTTTGAATCTTAGTGGGGTAACGATTTTCGGTATTTTGTCGTGTTTAGCTTTTATTTCCTCGATTATCAGACAATGTAATAAATGAATTAGGCGGTTTCCTGAAGTGAAATTTTATCTTCTTTCGAAAAGGTCCACGAATTTTTGCATCAGATCAACCCCCGAAAATATATTCGCACAAAAAGAACACGTGTCATGCGTTCTCCCATAAGAACTTATGTAAAATCATGGCCGAATTTGTAGCTAGCATGACGTCACAGAATCGTAGGTCTCACTATTCTCGTAGGTAACGCCCCAGAGTCAACCGCAGAAGCGGATCCAGCAATTTGGCAACACCGGATTCCCTCAATTTAAAACTATGTTTAATTATCGATTTTTGAAAGAGCACTGGCCCCTCCAAGCATCGATACATTTCCATGGGATTAAATGGAGAAAAACCATATTGCCAATTTGCTGGGCCCGCCAATGGTCAATCGATGGCTTGGCTCGTTACGTGTTTTACTTCCCGTATTAACCAAACTTTTGTGGAGAGTTTTCTCTCTATGTAGTTATGGCACTTTAATAATTCACAGAAAACTATGTTACCCCGAATACGCGCATTAGGCCGTTGAATTCCGAATCGATATCGCAGTTGCAAGCGAAGACCGGTCGGAGGTCCTCGTCGAGGTAGGGTTCTGGATCGCGACGACGCACATCGCCCTTCGTTATCGGAACCAGCCGGCCACACGCGAAGAATTCCGCAGGGTCCATAGGAGCTTCTTCTGATGAGGGCACGAACGCGAAACCCCACATTTTATTGCATCTTTTTTTGCAATATCGCTTCACACGCGGCGCGTTGATCACTGGGATGTAAAAGAAGGAGATGAATAGTTAATATTATTTTCACCACCTTCCGGCCGAAGTATCACAAGCGCCGTGCGACGTTCAAAACTTTCCGCCGCCATTTTATTTTGTTGCGGAGAAATCGTTCAACGAAACTGTTCGAAAATTTCACTGAATTTTCTATGTGCTGCCGATAAAACTCAGTGAAATTTTCAGACGGATTCAACCAACAATTCTCTGCAAAAAAATGAAAAGGCGGCGTAAATTTTGAAATGTCGCATGGCGTTTGTGATTCTTTGGCCGGAAGGTGAACATTTTGGTTGGTTTTTTTTAGGTGTCATGACCTCGATCAGCTCGGGAGGGTGAAAGAAAAAAAAACGACTTGGAAATGAGGATTTCTGAGGATTCATTTGGAAAGAAGGGAAGAATGAAAGCAGTACACCGAAATAAAGTGAAGTTGATTCAACATTCTGGATGTTAAAAGAAGTGTGCGAGAACTTATGAAATGCTGAATTACCCGCTAGCAGTTACTTTAGCCATAATGCCAAGATGTACAACTAACTGCTGTGGAGGATTTCTCTGCATTTCATAAGTTCTCCCACACTTTCTTTTTACATCCGGAATGTTAAATCAACTTTACTTTTTTTCTGTACAGCAGTTAGATATTATTTTTTGTTCTTCAGGCGGTGCTTTAGCCATGCACATTTGCACTTAGAGGGAGAAAAACAAAATAGCTTTTTTTCCCTCGGTTTTTCCTGTATGGGAGGAAACAATGGAGAATAACACCAAACAGTAAAACTTCTGGACAGGTATTGAATGGAAACAGTGTTTAAGGAATACGTTTACGCGAAATAAACTCGGAAATTAAACAAATACCCTTGATATGGATTTATTTGAGATTTTATATGGATTTTTTATATGTTTAAGAGTCATTGTGCATCTGGATAGTAATTCAAAGGATCTCTCAATCGCTAATCGAAGATTCGTGAAGAGTCCTCCCGCAAATAGTCGGGAAAAACCTGCCTGAAAACTGCATTATTAAAAATAGAAGGGGAGTTTGGGGTTTACTTCATTAGTCCACGTAATATGCGTTATCGTGATGCACGAAAAGCTGTTGACGCCGTTGAAAACGCCTTCAGTTTCGTGTGATACTTCACCCTCCACACTGGAGTTAAAATTTTTGTAACTAAAGTCATTGTGCAACTTGATAGTAACTCATAGGATCTTTTTATTGCTTATCGTTATGGAAACCTGAATACTATGAATCAAGTTTGCTCAAGCTCAGACTTCTATAAAGAAATCACGGGATTTTTTTCTGCCTCTTCATGAAAAATTAAAATAAAAGTAGTGGAAATTTTGATAGCACGAAGAACAATCCTCTCATATATGTAAAGATGACTTCATCCTTGATACATTCTCCCCTTTGATGACGGCCAACATAATTGTTTCCGTAAAATTGGATCAGAGACAGAATTGTATTTCAAATACTTCCGTTTATTCATCTTAAAAATTTAAGTGCCTCTTGACAAACAATATTTGTTTTTATAAAAAATTCTGGTGGTCCACTCATATGTTCAGAATCAATGTACAGAACCCTGAGATTTGGTAAAAATGTCTGAAAGTGGTAAGTTTCGTCGCCAAAACTTAAAAATTCTGTTCAAACCATAGAAGTAATCAAAAACTGCATTGCAGTACCTTATTCTAGTAAAACGATATTTGTCAGGTCCAGTGGCGTGGCGTAATTTGCGATAAATCGATTGATCTTTAATTGAAACCTATGGTAAAGGATTGATAAACATGTTGTTCGCATCGAACACCTTAATAATCGATTCTTTTACCAGGTTTAAACTGGGAAATATCAATAATCGATCATTCACTTCCCGCTACTGGCCAGATCACGGTTAGAAACCGATCGAACCGGGGTTTTGTTTTTGAGCCATAATCGGACACCAATCAGGTTATTTTTGACCCTGGCCATCAGTTAAATGTAAGAGAGGAAACTAAAATAAATAGACTATTAAGTTTTCACAAAATATTCAAGTAATGTTGAATTTTGTTGACTTACACGCTACGCGATCCTCATCCCTTAAAGGACCGCAGTGTTTTTCAATCCATTTTCTGGAGCGCGTTTGTTGATCTACGGCTTGTGGTTTGAATTGCTCATCATGAAGATCGTCCAGTTCCTGTAGGAACGATTCCTTATTAGGAGCTTTGTCCATGGCTATTCGAACAGACAAGGAATCAAATGATAAACAAAGTTATGATTTTTCTATCCAAACCTCCCTACTTAATTTATTTGAAACACGCTCATCTTCGGGCCTCGTTCCTGAAGCATACGAGTATCGATTAGGAGGATTCATGCAGGCATTTTTTTCTAGGATTATGCATTTTTGTCACGCTAAGCACTCTTATGACTTTATATTGTAGAGTAGAGTATGTAGATTACATTTTGCAATGGGGAACCACTATTCCTGGCTCGTTTTATAAACAACTTATATTCCATTGGTCTCCTTATGCAGAAGGGTGCTTTTATAAAAGAGCCAAAGATAGTGGTCCCTTTTTGCAAAATGTAGTCCATATGATCAGGTCCGAGTCAGTGTCTCTCGATCTTTTTTTCTGAGGTCAATAGGGGCTACATCATTATGACTCCTCCCCTAGATCCACCATCGGTGTATCAAACATTTTGAACACACCTATGAAGCGTGAAAATAGTACTGCCGCGCTAAGGAACAACGCCGTATGGACATTTGAGAGTTGGCAAATTTTCCCTGATAAAACATATGTTTGAGAAAAGTAATACGAATTTTCTCTTGAAATTTTCAGATATTTTATGTGAAATTGCGAATAAAATTGTCTGAAATTTTTTATTTTCCACTTTATATACTCTACGAGGGATACTCTTGGGCTCACCGTCCCTAAAGTCCCATCCCCCATCCGTCCTTCATCAATCCAGCTCCAGATAACCGTTGTTTAAGACCATCAAACCCAGGTCACCTAGCTAGGAATCGAACCCGGAACCTCCCGATTACAGAGCAAGCGCCACAACCACACAAATTCTAAATACATCTTTTTTTTAAAGGACAATATTCACAACTTTTCGAGTTAATTCGTTATTTATTGAAATAAATATGTCAACGGTCTAAAACTCATACGGCGCACAGTGAATCAAGTCAATAGGAGAGGTCGGACAAAATTTCAAAACTTTAAGAGCTTGTAACTCCATTTATATAAAATATTGAGGTTCTAAAAGTGTCTCTATTGGTTTTCTAGTGAAATTTTGTGTAATAAGCACCCCTTAAAATTTAAAATGTGACGAAATGAACATTAACATATGCAGTTTTAGTCAAAAGCGTTACTTCCGACCTCTCTAATTTACTCGATCAATTGTGAGGCGTTCTTTCTTAGCATGGCAGAGTACCGGTCCTTACTAAAGTATTTGAGCAGTCTATTTTGCATATGAGCGTAAGCTACTTGATGAGGATCGTTAGGATCGATATTGGGAGCTGCTGTGGGCACGAAATGTTTCATCCGTTGGCCGATGCCAGTCAGATCTCTCCAGTTCGCTAGGGACAATTTGAACATCCGGGGTGGAGAAGGAGGAACCTCTGGCGGTGGGGGTGGAAGGGGTGCAGGAGGTCGCGGCCGAAGATGAAGTTGACTCTCAGGTATTCCCTTCCTTTCCATTTCCCTTCGCCAGTACAGATTAGGGAGTATTTTGCGCGGCGGCGGTGACCACTGAGGATCTACAGGCTTGGGTGGAGACTTGGGCGAAGGCTTGGGTGGAGACTTGGGGGGAGATTTTTGTGGAGTCTTGGGCGGAGACCACTTCTTTGAGGGAGAGGTTTTAGCAGCACCGGGCGAGGTTTTGGGGAGTTCAATTAGACCCTTGGGGAGGCTTATCGAAGGTTTCAGAGGTCCAGGTGGAGGCAGGGGCTTATTGGGGCTGGAAGGGATCTGTGTGAAGTGGGGCGTATCCGTGAATTGAAGGGTGGGCACAGGTGACACATTGCGCGAACCCCCAGGCGACTGTTTGGACTTTTTTTTAAGGACTCCGTTGCGCGGCAAATCTTCTGGTGATTTTTGGCCCAAGATTTCCGGTGGCGTTTTAACCGTTCGGTCAGGCGAGGTTCTTCTGCGACGTTCGGTTGAACTGCTGCGTGATCGCTCAGGTGATCTTGACCGTGGCGAATCTGATTTGCCACGCGGTGGTGAGCGCGATGGTGAACCGGTTGGGGAACCTCTTGGCGAACCAGTTGGCGAGCGTCTTGGCGAGGAGCGGGGCGTTGGTGTGCACATACATCGGGGCGAGGAACTGATTTCTACCGTATGTGCGACATCTTGTTCAGGGAAGCAAGGCGAGACGATGGTGCATGTTGATTTAGGTAATTGTAACTCTGTACCAATGAGCAGCTCGTAGCACAAGTCAATGTCACCTGTAATAGAGCAAACTATCTCATAAACTACAAAAAAATAGGTTTAATTTTTTTTTTTACTTCCGTGGCTACCCGAAGTATTGCTATATTTGTGCCGCTGCCTGATTGGCTAAGTGGTTGTATACGTTTTGTGAGTCTTTTAAAGACTTCAATTTACCAAAAAAAAGGATATTGCAATGTAAGATAGTCTCTGAACAATTTATCTGCAATCATTAAAGTCCCCTTTCCTGTGGTAATACCGTATGAGTATTTATGTGCATTAAACACACTGAGCCCTATAAAAATTGTTTTTATTCCTTTTTAACAGTGGAATTAAATTCGCTACGAAAAAATATATACGACACTGCATGTCGAAAAGTGCACGGGGAAAAACAAACATGGTATTCCGTGGTTACCACGGTAGTAATGTCACACGGGATTCCACGATAGTAGAGCCCTGGATTTTGGTAATTATTGATGAGCATAGTAGCATAGCAATGCTAATTGTAGCATTATTGTATTTTGTGCTCACAGTAATATTATGGTGGACACGGTAACATCACCATGCTTATCACAAAAATCATCAAAATCCACAGTTCTACTACCGTGAAATCCCTTGTGACATTACTAGATGCCGGAGAATACTTGCATTTTTTTTTCTCATTGCATATTAGGGTTGAAACTCGAATTGATCACTTAAGAGAGTATTGGTGAAGCACCAGTATAGAGAAAAATCTGTTTGTGGTTGAACATTTTATTTCTCAGTACTCGATACTGAGTACTTACTAATATACTGACGACAAGTAGGTCAAGGTTTCAAGCCATACAAAATTTGCATTATTGATGATGTTATGAGCTTTGAAGTAAACCATCTTTACGACTGAAATCGGTCCTCATCGACGCGAATAAATAGTTGCATCCCAAAATTTCCAACATTTCGTCTCTTAACTTTGAACTGCTGAGCCGAAGGATCAGTTTTCGGAATTTCTTTGAGCCAGAATGATGCAGAAGTAACGCACTTAAAGCTGCAGCCAAATGATATTCTGTTTTTTCCCTTCTTGCGGCACTTATTGCACCAATTTGTAAGTTACGTTATTTCAATATGTGTTAAGATATAACGTCTTTTTGTAATCTAAAACGGGTTGAAAAAAAATAGTAGATATAAAAATGCGGAAGTCGAAAATATAATCTGGAGTAGAATGACATATTTGTAAGACGTTGAACAGAATTAATCTGTTCTTACCGTCAGAAAATTTAAATTCTTGGGATCCCTGTCTACTTGTCCTACGACGCACACCATCCACGACCCCTAAAAAACGTAAAACACCACAATTAACGATGAAATGGATACACCTGCTGCGGGTCGATTGTTGAATCGTTTATCGAATGAATTCGATCGATAACTCCCTATCTTCACAATGCTATATATCGATCAAGGTCATTCGATAACGATTCAACAATCGAGGCGCTGGATGGGACTGCGAAGGGTTACTTCCTATCTAGCGGTAGACGTACTTATCATTTGAGCGTATTAATTCTAGAGGAAAGTATGTTCGCATGACTTATATCAATATGATGTACACGAGATTCGCGTGTGTCATCGCAATCTTGTTCTTAAGTGTAGATCCATCTATTTAAAATAAAAAGTAACAGCAATGTAGAATCGTGGCAGGCCAACATCATGATGGGGGTAAGTCAAAGCTTTCAAAGATTTTGAGTTTAATCGGAGAAAAATTGGTGAGGACCGAATGTCAATGCACCGTTTTTTCCTCGCACAGAGTACTAGCCCGGAGCTTTAGCTGAGATACACAGTATCCGTAGACAGCTTGTTGCAAACTGACTTTTTTGCTTCCCTCCCCTTCACCCTCGATATTATCCAAATTTTGTCAATATATTAATCATATTTTCTATTGCTCACACAGAGGCAACTTGATTTGCGTACCTCCGACTTGAAATCAGCCTATGTAACGCTAACTTTCAATCGAACCCATTGCTTGCTCTTGAAATGGATTCAGTCTCTTTCATTTTGTTCCGTTTAACGTATATGTCGCAGGCAAATAGTTAAATCAGGCATTTTGTCAAATGCCTAGGCAGATAGTCAAATTTTAACAGTCTACAAAATTTTGTGAATTCATGGCCAAGAAATGACGATTTTTCACTATTTTTGAGAAAATAACTCATCAAACCTACAAACTCTTTTTGTCTCTTCCTCTTCAATTGCCGCTCATATTTTTAAATTTACAAATTCAAAAAATTCTGTATTTTACGACATGCTGAAAATTCCAAGGTCAGAGTCTCTTCAGGAGCTAAAAATTGTTTAAAATACTATTGTGTGTGCAAAATTTTACTGAGAATTTTTTCTTGCAGGAGCAATGAATTATTTTGTCTGAAATTGGGAAAAGAGTCAGAATTTCAATCTAAGTTAGAATATTTGACTATTTGCCTAGGCATTTGACAAAATGCCTGATTTTACTATTTGCCTGCGACATATACAAAAAAAAAGTTTTCTTTATCAAAGTAACGTAGATCTGTGAGGTGAGTGAAATACCTGATGCCAAAGCCTTTAAAGATGCTGAACCAAAACTTGCAACTTTTTTCATCTTCTCTGTTACTCCTGAGGCTGAACCTGGAAATAAACAAGAAAAAGCCGTTTGAGAGGGTGAAATATCTGTAACGCGTATACTAAAAGTAACATAACTGGACCCACTATTGCCGTGAAAAAAATTGATGAGCCTATGTAGTAAATCTGAATTGAATGGCTATGTTTTTTTACGCTTGTTCAAGTGACCTTTCAAACTGACGTGAATCTTAATTTTTCTCTAATTTCGGATGAAGGTTTAAAAGTATGATTTTTTAAATTATTTTTAGCTGCTGTGTTTGCCACTCATTTGTTGACGAAGTTCAGTCTTTAAAGAAAACTCAAGAATCGATTTCGTATTCGAATTACATAACTTATATATTGCTTTTACAATTTATATAATTTTTCTGACTTTATCTCTCTTTTTCTCTCCTCTTTGTCTCTTATTGTGTGAAACTTACGTTGAGCCTGCCATGATTCTCTATCGGCATCGGTTCTGTCAGTCACTGGTGAATCGCTTCTGAAGCTAAATTTGCTGCCAGAGAAGCTACGAATGCTCCCATAACTATTACTCGAAAGTTTGCGTAGACTTTGGAAACCACCCGAGATCATACCTATAAAAATGGAAAGATAAAATTTAAAAAATTATTTCGTGTAGAAGTATAAAGCAGATGCTTTCAAAATCTCAGTTCAAATACTCTAATTTTTTAAGCTTTTAGCTCTAAACTTTTTTTTTAAAAAAATCATTTCCAATTGGACTCCAATTTTTAACAATTGAGATAAAAATTGAGTGCTTCATCAATTTGTGTTCATTTCAAATTCTCCAGCAATTTTGAGGGAATGCAACCATTACAGTTTGCACCAGTCACCACTAAGAATTTCACTTTCCTTCGACGATTACTGAAGTAACATTGTTCAAATTACAAAAAGCAGATCCACAAGATATAGATTATTTTTTGCTTGATTCGTTGAGCCAAAAATATTGGAAATTAGAATTACAAGCGTAGAGTAGGCACGGATGAAACTTTCAGCTCAGCAGCGGCGGCCGAGCGCGCAACCGAATCACTCATGTTCCATCTCTCTCTCTCCCATTGCCACAATGGGAATTACTTTCCACCGTAGTTACAAGTTTATTTTGGGGGATTTTAAAAAGATTTTTTACTGATTGTTCCTCAAGTATGTTGCTATATACCGTGGATCCCCAATCTTGAATAAGTATTGCGGTTTTTATTGTTTTGGCAAATATATAGGCTATTCTAATCAGCGCGACGTGGTGGCGAAATCGCGAAGTTCGAAACCTGGATTCACCTTAAAGGAGCAAACTGAAAGAAATCAGGTATCAATTATATCATATGTTATGAAAAAATCGAATAAAAAGGTTTCTTTTGCAAAAACTTCCATAGTTTTACAGTGATGAAAATTGTTTTTAAGTTAATTTGCCGAAGTGCGAATCTCTGAGGGAAAAAGTAAGAGAATATCACATATGTTCATCAAGCGCCGACTAAAGACCCCTGTTGGCAGACAAGCAGGATTGAGAAATCTTTTATATATGTAAAGTGTGCGTCAAAAAAGCAGAAGGTAATGAATTTATAGGATCCAAACAGAAATTCAGGAATATTGTTAATTTATGATTGGGAAATTAGTAAAAAATTGAAAAATTACTTACGCTGGACTGAGCCTTTAAATCCTGTGCTCCCTTGCTTTTGCCCGGCTAGAGAGACAGAAAAATAAGATTTGGTAGAAAATAAACACGGAAATACGCGTACATAGTGCTAGGCGACTGAGGGGTTCTTTCGAATCAGACACATGAAATAAATCTATTCAAATATCGGAAGAAATGGAAGGGGGTAAAATTTTGCAAACTTTAAAACGCTTATCAAATACTGTCTGTCTGGAGATAGGTGTTTGATCACAAGAGACGCGCACATGCACTCAAACTTGTTAAAATACTTTACTCATGTTAAAATATATATTGAAAATGAATTGAAGTGAAAATGAACTGGAGTTTACTGACGAGTTTTAAGTGAAACTTATGTGTTCCTTTCCACTAACCTGTACAAAAACCAAATAAAAATCACAAACCTTTTAGTCCATTGATGAATGAATAATTGATGAAGAAAACTGAGACGACAATTAAAAACATCACCCTCATCTTATAGGACCTATTTCAAGGCTATCCAATCAATGAACATTAGTGCTAGAGCATGCTAATATATACCCACATTATACTTGAATCATTTTTTTTAATTTCTCACAAACCTATTCCTTTTTTTTACTTTACGATTGTGTCTCCGTGTCGAACGCACTGTTCGAGCAAGTTTCACGAGACCTCGAAGTATACTGTCATGATGCCCAAAAGGTTACTGTCTCAATGCGTCAAATTTTTCTGTCACATGAGCGGAAAATTTGCTGACAACCTGCTTTTTATCTTTTTTCTTTCCTTGGAAGCATGATGCGTGGTAAAGATGACGTGTAAATTATCAGATGCAGGGTTTATAAAACATGCAGTAACAGCCGAGCCATATGATGTCGAGGGCCTAATGGAGATCCTGCATGCGTCAGGAAATCGCGGTGTAAGTACTGATTCCTATTAAACTTTCGCGAGAAACGCTATGGTTTCCCTCGATTTCTCTGAAACATACTCCAAACCTCAAAAAACTCAAACTTCAGGCTGTAATGAAGGGGATATTCCACGCTATCCTGAAAACCTGTACATCAAGTCAAAATGTCCATACAAAGATAGGGAGCAAATTATTTGGGGACTCCAAAACTAAAAACACGGCAACCCTAACAATATATTTATGTTTGTACCCTATATTTGTACGGCTATCTGTGGTAGAGACGTGAACTCTCGGGATAGTGTGGGATATCCCTCAAATTTGGCCTTAACTTTGAGAGGTTTTTTGAGCTTTATGGTTCGTTTCAGAGAAAAAAATGGCACCATTGTGTTTCTCGTAAAGTTTTACGCAAAAACGTACTTAAATCGCAAATTCCACACACCTGCATAAACGTCATTTCTATAAAATGAGTCTCAGTGACGCTGATACAAAAGTTAGAAAGAAAGAAGTGTATTCAAGTGGTGTGATAATACTTTTATTTTACTCTGCTTAAAACGTTGATTAGTAAATAATACAAGGTAATGTACAAAAACATGTGTTATATGAGAAAATTTGTTATAAACATGTTTAGGATGAGCAAGCCTTCATCTCTGTTGATTCTCGAAATCTGATTCCAACCACCAAAAACAGAGGGGGCGGGGTCGCCGCGGGCGTGCTGCCAGCTCGAAACGCGCACTGACGCCTACAAACCTAAAGGGATACTTCACGCATGGCGCAATGCTTGAAGTATCCCCTTAGGTTTGTAGGCGCCAATGTGCGTTTCAAGCTGGCAGCACGCCGGGCCGGAGCGTGCCGTAAACTTCCCCACAATTAATAGGTCAGGGTGTTAAAATCTTGTCAATTTGACATCAAATTTGAATTTAGCGACCAAAAAAACATCAGCAACGAAACTTTTGTGATCTTTAAGTCATTATTCGACTTATTTCTTCCCATTCTTGAGTTCTGGACCATGGTGCGCCGCGGGCGGCGATTCATGAAATTCTCCCCTGTGCTCAATCGAACGACACAAGAGATTTTGAATCTTCATTTGTTTCTACGTTCTCCATGTAGTTAGATTTTAGCATGGACAGCCAAAAACGGCAGTAGGTCAAGTTTAAGTGAAACGAAAGTATGCTCTTTTCCTACGGACTATCCGAAAGCGACGAAACGCTACGGTTTTATTCGTTTCGAGTCAGTCTGCTGATGTTCATATTCTATGACCATTTGTCCAATCGCTCCTAGCCAGTGGGTGATTCGCCTGTATGAAAGTCAAGTATGAAAATCGGCATTTTCATGTTCCACCCTTTCATCGGCTCATTCGGTTCAATTTTTCCGCAGGTTTCAAATTTCCCGCCAAGGTGGACACGAAACCAACAGAACACGGCGTTTTGTAAAATATCAATGCTTGAATATAGGAAGCCTACCTTATTTGTTTCACTTGCCTTGGGAGCAGGATACCTTGCTTATTACTCCGGTCTACTGTAAGTGATAAAAACTGTAAGTTGAAATTTTTTAGCCCACGTGTGTCAAAAACCAGTATTAAATCTCTTTATTGAGATATTCAGTTTCATGCTGATTTTTAACACACGTTGGCTAAAAAATTCCAAACAACCCTTGCGTCTACCACAATCAGTTTGTGTTAAGTGTTACATTTGTGAATTCTCTCATTTAGGAATGTATCTGCTCATTTTTTATCACAGTTCGCTTGGAGGATCAGCCGGGCCGATTTCATGGGTTTTGAGGTTACCATAATGGAAAATAGTCCGAATAACCAAATTCTACTTAGAATAAGGCACAAGTGCCTACAGGAAAGGCGCGAGGTGTCCCTAGCCCTAGGGAGTCGAGCCGCGTAGCGGCCAGGAACATAGCCCTTTAGTATGCTCATTTTTATCTCTACTTTTTTATTCCTGCTTAAGCCCTCGGCGAATCTCACCAAAAAATGAGCAACTTCACCTGTTACACCGCTCAATGGGAACGCGAACCGCGAGACATCGGATGAGCGAACAAACAAACTTTCATCCATTTGAATGCAGACCATCTCTCAGATATCCCAGACGCCTTCCGATTTTTCCCTCCATCGAGCACACCTTCTATCGAATCCTTGAAATCAATCGGCATTACACTGTTTACTCTGTCAGTCTGTTTGATTTCATTGTTTACCCTTGTCTCATCTCCTTGTTCAAATATTATCTCCTCCAATTTTTCTTGTCGGCCCGAATCCTACTCGACCAGCGCTTCGATTGATCGAGACATCTCTCGGTGTTGAAAAGATATTCCTTCGATTGAGATGCTTCTCAGCCTGGGTAGTTAGGCAATTTGCCAAACAGAGTGTCTTACTCAACTCCCAGCCTTAAAAAAAACCGCGGGTTGGATAAAAGCATCTATAAAACGGTATCGATAGATGTAGAATCGAAGAGGAGATCTGAATTGTGAGAAGAGGTTTCAAAAGACAAGGAAACAAATCGTGTTCCCAAATAAACACTTACTCTCCCTTCTTGGCACCTTTTGCGCATCTCTGTATAGCGGTGAGGATTTAGTTAGGTGCATGATGGCAGCGACGAATAGAAAACTCAATGATCCGTACCGCCTAACTAACAACTTTGGCGAAAATGATTTGGCGATTTTGTCGCAATTTTTACAATTTAAAACACGAGCTAATGTTCTTAGTTTTTCTAATCCCGCATGAAAACACTGTAATGTACATAAATAATTGCAAAGTTAACCTCACAATGACAAAAATAGCGAAGTTTCTTTCTTGTCTTGCAAAACAATCAGTTTGCAGATAGATGGTATTGTTCTTAGCCATCGAATAAACGCAATCTTATATTCCAGCCTCCTCCTCCCCCGACACACACCCACGAATCTCTCCTTCGTACCAGAGCGATATGCCACGGAGAAAAAAACTTCGTGCATGGGACCCGAAGTTGAGGTCATATGGATCTCTGAAGTTTTCGGACCGCGCATCCAAAAACTCGAGGTCCAACTGCCGAAGTGCGGGTCAGACACCCAAAGTATTTCGGTACGTACCGAGTATACTTCAGATGTGCGACCCGAACCTTTCGGTATGTACCTAGGTACTTCAGAAGTCTAACCCGAACTTCGGCAGTTGGACCTCAAGTTTTCGGATGCGTGATCCGAAAACTTCAGAGATGCATATGACCTCAACTTCGGGTCCCATACACGAAGTTTTTTTCTCCGTGATGAACTATCATTAGTTTTTTAAACATGATAAGAACGGGAAATACTTTTTCCAGCTCCCAAGATACCGAAAAATTGTACAACTGCGACTCGTGAGCAGACTTCCATACAAAATCAATTAGCTTGGGTTCGTGCTCGGAATAGCGACAACACTCGGCGGTGGAGTCCGGGCCGGTATCAATGTAAATACAAGGAGCGAACGGAAAAAGCGAAGAAGATGAGAATATTAAGTGGCCCGTTAATTTGGAGGAAGGTTAATCTGAAATTAAAACGATAAATTCCGCGGGGAGGCTTCTTCGCGTTGGACTGCCCGGCTCCCCAAACCGCGGAGGTATGGATGCGGGGTGGGTGAGGGTGGGGTAGGTTCGGGAATGTCGTTGCCGAATCGTTTTCAGAAATTGTCCGACAAAATCCTGAGAGACTAAACCATAGTTTGACAGTTTCGGATCGTGCGCGACTCCTACAGCATGTTTTGGATGAGAACACATGAGCCCGAAGAGAAGGAGAAGGGAAAGAGTAAATAGGATGAAGAGGACGAAAAACAGAAACTAAGAGGGGAAAAATGAGGAAGAGGAGAAAAAGACCGAAGAGAAAACATTGAGGAAAAGAAAAGGAGGAGAAGTAATAATAGGTTAACTCTGAGAAGAAATAAGAGAAAGAAGAAGAAGAAGAAGAAGAAGAAGAAGAAAGGAGAGACATTTTGAGAAGAAGGAGAAAATGGGGAAGAGGATGAAAAAGAGAGAGAGGAAGACAAAAAAAATAAGAAGAAAAGGAGGATGAGGAAAAATTAGAGCATGAGGAGGAAATTATTTTTTTTTTCGTTTTTCCCTCCTCTTTTTCTCCTCTCCGTATTATTTTTCGGTTTTTTCTCTTCTTCCTCTTCTTCTTCTTAATCGTTGTCGTCTACTTCACCTTCCGATTGAAAAGATGACGACCTGCATCTTAAGGATTCGAGTCAATCCAATGAGGGGAATATGAAAAATACTTTAACTCAGATCACGAAGAGAGGCTCAGCGCCGGCGTTTTTTCGTGTATGCAGCACGGACAGTCGCTGGACACGAATAGTTGCATCCGGGCGCCTTCAACAACATTGTATCAAGTTCGCGCACTCCTCATCAAATGAGCTGCATTGCATGTCATGTCCATCTACGGAAGATAATCCTGAGGATTGAATTACTTTGAACGTCTCTAGGTGCCCATTTACTCTTCCCTTACATATTCTCGTCGTATTTCAGTACCTTCTTGTTGGATAAGTAATCTATTTTTACGGTGGAGCATCAAGATTAACATTTCAAAAAGGAATGCTCAACCTCCCCCATTTTTAATTACTTTCAATAATTGGTTATTGGCTTTGGTT